ACTGTTGGAGAAGGATAATTTTTCAGTAGTTTAATTAGTCTTCCTCCCTCAGCCTGTTTTCAATCTGCATCAGCTGTTTAACAGAGGAAAAAAACATCATAGAGTAAATAAATTTTAATGTCCCATAAAAAAATAGATGTAGCATGCAATTATTTATTCTTTTTATTGTTTTTGTTATTTTTTATCTAATGTACATTCAATTGTAAAATGCAGAATTACAGATTAATTGTCATTAAATTGTCAAAAATATATTTAAAATTATAAATCAAATAATAAAATGTTATTAAATTAATAAATATCACAACTTTGCTTCAAAATTATAGATAAGAATTGAGGGACGTCGTTATATGTATTTGTTTAGGGTCCCAGTCATTCATTTTGTTATGCTAATATAATATTTGGGAACCACTGATCAAAATGGGGGAGTGTTTGCCTAGTGTTTAGAGCGGTGCACTTGTGCTCTGAGAAGGTTGTAAGTGCCTGGTTCGATCCCCAGTGCCTCCACTCTGGGTTCCTGAGCAAAACCCTTAACCACACACTGCTCCCGGGGCGCCACACAATGGCAGCCCACTGCTCCCAAAGGGGATGGGTTAAAATGCAGAGAACAAATTTCCTCATTATGGGACAATAAAGGTATTCACATTACAAAACCATATCACACATTTTGGAGGTTTTCTAGGATCTTTATTTTTACATTTTGGGGTTAGAGCATGGAGTTTTATTGATCTAAGATTAATCTATATATATTATTTTATACCGTATATTTATCACCTGAAGAAAATGCAGGGATTAAATTTTGTTTTTCCATACATTGATTGTTTTCTGTTGGTTTCGGATCAGATAGCAAACCTCTATTTCTCAGATGGAAATAAATTATTGCTGTTTTAAGCTTTTTAGCATTCTACGATCTGAACAATTCGGTACTAACAAGATATCTTGACATGATTTTTCTCCTCATGCACGTGTTAGTCCCTCATCTGAACAGAAATCAAAGCAGAACAGTGAAGGGTTTGTACTTTTAGGAAAAGGAGACGTCTCCTTTTGGGAGACCTGCACCATGTAGCTGGTGACGATGGTGGAAACAGTGTATGATGCAAGCAAACTGAAGCAGCTGCAGAGAGCACCATCACCCCAGTCATTTAGAGCAGATTAATAATGCATAGAGTTTCTATATAGAGCAGGAGACGTGCAAGAAGACAACAGACTGTAGGAGGTCTACTGCTTCACAGTGGGGCAGAAGGAGGTGGTGCTTATCGCCTCCTACTGTAGCGTCAGATATGAGCAGCCAAGGTTCATTTTTATTTTCCTCCAGTTTTTACCATCTACCACTTATCTAGTTTTCAGTATTTGTTTGATTTTTTAGGTTGGTTTTTTTTGTTTTTTTTGTTTTTTTGCTTTAGTTATAGTTTTGATCTTTTATGTAATACGACTTAAATACCGGGGGCTAGACTAAAAAACACTAACAATAATAGAAATAAAATCCTAGATAAGGATAGACCTCTGAAGCCACACAAATGACAGGATTGAAATAACATCCACCTGCTGGTGTAAGTATTGCAATGCATCGAAAAAGAAAAGAAAATGGAAACTACAACTCATATGAATCCATTATGTTAGAGACACAATCAGAAAATAAGCACCTTCTCTCTTAAGATCCAGTACATTTTATTGCATTATCTAAACTCTTTTAACAGTTTCAGTTAGTTTTCATTTTTTTGCAAGGTGTAGTTACACTGCGCTCGGCTCCGCCCCAAAATTCTCTCCCCCTCAATTTACACTTCCTCCATTCCTCTGCAGAGTGAAGCCCAGACGAGCTCCAAGGAGAATGCGAAGATTGACCAACCAGATAAACACAGAAGTCAGACCCAATTAACTTCTCGTTTTTTGGGAGCATCAAGTTCTTTTTAGGAGTTATATCCTCCAATGGTTGATTACACTGAGTGGAGAGAAGCAAGCTCTGTTGCCCAAATTAGCCTCTTTTATGTTTATTCTTTTTTTTTATTGCCTAGGTTAATATTTAAAAAATAGATAAATAAATGCAATTTCATGTTAAAGTAATTTTCTCTACCCTAAAGAAGTTTTTAACAGTATAAAATATCGAGAGTTTCTGCAAATTTTTAGAAACACTTGACAGTGGCATCCGATGCAGGAATCAGCCCTGCAAGAGGAGGGTCGTTGGTTCAATGTCATTTTGTCCTCAGGCAAAGACAACTAACTATATAGGCAAGAAACTTCCCTCTACTGATGATGGCCAGAGGGCCGTGTGGCCCCTGTGTTCAGCAGCCTTTCTGCCAGTGAGCCCAAGGACAGCTGTGACTACAGTGTAGCTCACCACCATCAGTGTTTGAGAGAGAACAACTGAATGTAGTGTGAAACACT